CTCTGGGTATCGTGTTGCATAATCCACTAGGACTAATGCAAAGCGATGCCCACGTGCAGATCGTTCTAATGGCCCGATGAGGTCCATGCCAATTCTTTCGAAGGGGACCTGCATAAGAGGGAGAGGGCACAATGGTGCTTTTGGCGTGGCCGGCGGGTTCACCAGCTGACATTCACGACGAGACGCGCACCACCTGTGCACGTTCTCATGAATGCCTGGCCAGAAAAATCGGGTCATTAGACAATGAAGTGTTGCTGCTTGTCCCAAATGTCCGGCCATCGGATTACAGTGAGCTGCCTGGAAATGCATTTCCCGACGGCTTTTTGGTACTAACAACTGAGTTGTATCTTGTTTTGACTGATTGTCTTGTGTCACGCGATTTAATGCCCAAGTATTCCCATACTGCAGATTTTAACTTTTTTTCCGGCGGAGATGGAGATTAGATATAATCTCTGTCTCTGTCATTTTCTCCACCGTATGTGCGTGTAAGCAGCCAAGTGAATGCAGAGGGAAGCAACCGAGCGGAAATAAGTTGCATATGCGCGGGTGAGGTTTTTTTTTTCATTCATTTAAAAAAAAAAACGTTGATATGCAAATGTTTACGGTATGATAACCGTGCACGTTCAAACCGTGATAAACCGTCAAACTGGTATATCGTTACAGTCCTATTTCCTACCGTAAATACATCAAAACTTCATTTTTGATTAGTAATATGCATTGCTAAATATTTCATTTGGACAACTTTAAAGGCGATTTTCTCAATATTTTGATTTTTTTGCACCCTAAGATTTCAGATTTTCAAATAGTTGTATCTCGACCAAATATTGTCCTATCCTGTCCTTACCCATACATCAATGGAAAGCTTATTTATTCAGCTTTCAGATGATGTATAAATCTCAATTTCAAAATATTGACCCTTATGACTGGTTTTGTGGTCCAGGGTCACATTTTTACTCTTTCCCTGAGCCATGCTTCACTGACACTGAAGTTTTTGATGACTGTGGACAAAGATTGTATGGTTTGTTTGATGCTACATTATTAAAAAAAGAAAGACTGATCAAACAGGTTCTGTTCAGAGTGTAAGTTGGCTCTGTTTACTCTGAGTAAACTCAACTGGGTGAGTCGTTTAATGTCATATGAGATGTTGACGTGAAGTGTGGAAATTGTTAACTGACATGCGAGATGTTTTATGCATGAGAATGTGTTGTGTGTGAGGTTACAGACAGCAGGAAGCTCCAGACCTGTTCCAATGGCTGTGCATTGAGGAGCTCAGACTGTGCTGCCCACCTGGACACTACGGGCCTGAATGCACAGGTGATCACACACACACACACACACCTGTACAAGACCAAACCTTTGTGTGGAACACAGTGATGGGCAGTAGCGACGTTTTGTGTTTTCTTAATCAAATAGCTTTTCAGTAGCGAAGCTCTGTTTTTGATCAAGTAGCGAGGTAGCGTCAACAAAAGCTACATTATCCAAAACATTCTGAAGCTCAAGCTCAAATCGGAAATATAACAGCTAAGGATCACTGATCCTGGACCAGTAAAAGTGACGTCACTGCCACTAAACCTCGTAACTCCATTGGCTGCTCAAACTGTCAGTGAAACCTCATTAACCAAATAAGTTAGCTTGTGCGAAGCGCTGAATCTTTAATAATATGATATTTTGGCCAAATAACAGAAAAAACTGAGCGCCCACATAGTGAGAGAAAACTGTATACCCTGTAAGTTCATGAAAACCTAAATGTGATGCATAATATACTGCCTCTGATGTGGTGGTAATGACGGGGAAAAACATTCGCTGGTCAAAAACGTATTAACGTATTTGAACTTGATTTTAGTGAAATGTTAATAATATAATGACGCATGCAACGAACGCAAATAAAATCTGTAGGCCTATACATTTATATGGTAACACTATCCAATAAGATTTAATTAGTTAATGTTAGCTAATGTATTAACTAACATGAGCATACAATGAACAATACATTTATTACAGTATTTATTAATCTTTGTTAATGTTGGTTAATGAAAATACAGTCGTTCATTGGTAGTTTGTTTGTTCACAGTGCATTAATGTTAACAAACACAACTTTCGATTTTAATAATGCATTAGTAAATGTTGAAGTTAACATTAATAAATGCTGTAGAAGTATTGTTCATTCTTAGTTCATGTTAACTACACTAGTTAACTAATGTTAACTAATGAACCTTATTTTGAAGTGTTACCATTTATATAAATGCATCTGTATGCAATAAAGCCACAATACCAACTACCAATAGGAGGTTTCTGGCTGACAGCAAACATGTATTTGCCTATATGTCACAATACGAGGTAAATCCAGCCCTGTACATGATACTGATTTTTGTTGCCAAATTGGTTTGGAACTGTTGTTGAATAAACAACTAAACTGAACTATTATGCCTGTCTATCTGTTTGACTGACAGTTTTATTGATCACTGAGAATGCATTGACTTGGTATGATGTTGGTTCAATATGAAAATGTAATTTAAAAAAAATAGCTTAGATGTAGTAAACTACTTTTGCCATGTTGCTGTAGCTTAGCTTGCTACAATTCCCAGGGCTGTAGCTTTAGTGTAGTGAAGCTTCATTTAATGAAGAGTAACTGTTAGCTTAGCTCACTACATTTTCCAAGTAGCTTGCCCAACACTGGCGGAACAGCTTTTATCCCATGTGCTTGTCGCACTACTGATCTAGTAGTGGATTGTGTTAGTCGAAGCTTGTCAGAGTAGACAGGACCATCAGAATTGGTTGTGAAGTCGTCTCTGGATTTTGACATTTTGCACATTCTGAAACCAAATGAAAATCATGTTATTACTGTTACCATGTCATTTTATTCAGTGATCTCTGGTTAAACGTCTTTTTGTAATATTGGCCCCCAGGCTAGGTAATTTGAGCATCTCTGCCTTACGACAAATCAAATAATGTAATATTTGCTCAGATGAACAAGCTGATCGGCTCTCCCATATTCTCCACAGAAGCAGTGGTTTGGTTATGCTGACTCTTAAAGGGACAGTTCACCCCAAAAATGAAAATTTGCTGTTAATGTACTCGCCCTTAGGCCATCCAAGATATAGGTGACTTACTTTCTTCAGTAGAACAGTAAAGAAGATTTTTAGCTGAAACTGTGGTCCTTGATCATTCATCAAATCAATCAGTCAATAATGAAAAAACACAAAACAAAGCATGCAAGACAAAATTAATCCCTGTGGCTCCTGACGATATACTGAGGTCTTGTGAAGTGAAACGATCAGTCTGTGCAAGAAACGGAACTTTATTTACAACATTATTACTCGTAATCCATAGGCAAACAGGGAAATCTGATTATTTTCCATTTCAAACTAGTTTACCAGCTCATTTATGTAATTCATGTAAAGATGCAACATATACACAATTATATTAAAGCATCCAATAATGATATGAAACATGGATATTTTAAAGCATATAAAGTGAATGAACTTGTCTTCAACAGCTCACCGTTTCACACAAACAATGAGAAACCATAAAAACTTTGATCTGGCCCCTTCATTCACACACGTGCAAATCACCGGCTCATCAGTTTTTCTGTGCTGATTGTTCTGTGTGTGTGTGCAGAGTGTCCGTCAGGTCCTGGAGGAGTGTGTGGAGGTCTGGGCCGCTGCGAGGGCGAGGGCACACGTCTGGGAGACGGAGACTGTGTTTGTGACCCGGGATACTCGGGCGTCCTGTGTCAGGACTGTGCCCACGGATACTACAGAGAAAAGAGCTCCAACCACACACAGCCACCCTGCTCAGGTAACCGTTCTCAGGAGCCTACGGGAAACACGATGCAGAAACATCTGATCACTTGTGTGATTTGTCAATTCTCTATATGTGATGTACTTGCTGATAAACTTCCACTTTAACTGGACTGATAATACAGGTTCATGCGAGGAAGAGTTGCAGAGAAAGAGTTGTTGCAAAAGAATCACTGCTAAAAATCTGCTGCAGAGCTAAAATGGATCAGAAGAAGAAAGAAATTAATGTAGTAAATGTCCCAAGCATTGAATTTCAGTTGGCCTGCTCAGGCAACGTCATATATATGAGGATATTGACTGTAAGTAAAAAAATTTTTCTGTTGTACGTAGCTTGCCATCATTCCTGTAAAAAGTGCACAGGACCACAAGACAACAAGTGTCTGGACTGTAAGCCTGGATGGATCCTTCACAGCAACAAGTGTGTCGGTGAGTTACAGGCTCAGGACATCCCTCACGGTGTGCGATGTCAGATTCAGAGGTAGTCTGAAGTCATATTTGCCTCTGGGTTTTTCCTACTCAAACTATCCAACACTGACTAAAAGCAAGAGATGAAACATCTGTAGTTAATTACTCACTTTTATGTTGTTCCAAACCCATATGAGCTTCTGTGTGGAACACAAATGGAGATTTACAACACAAGCACACAGTGACCAGAGACTGTCAGGCTAAATCTAGAGACATCAAGTAGGGCTGCACGATTAATCAGAATAAAAACAAAATCGTAATATGGCTTATGAATTCGCAAATGCGCTGTTTCAGAGTGAAGCGCAACGCTGTGTTCATTTTCTCCTGAGCAGCTCATGGTGTTTTTCAGCGTCTCAGAGCAACTCGATTCACAGTAAATGCTGTGAACTCCATGCATCTGCTCTGAGTTTGAGTCGCTTTAATGTGCTTTTAGAAATGCAACATGCGGCAACCTTCTTCTCGTACATGTAATGAGAAGCGCTTGTCAACAAAACAGAAAACCGCACTCCCTGCGGTTTTTCTTCAAAATAAAAGTTAGATGTTATAATAATGTTTGAAAATGAAGAAATTAAGACAGCAAATGTTAGAATTGTAATGTTACAGTTGTAATGTAAAATTATTTTTTACTTAAATACCCAATTTGTATCTTATATAAAAATATGACAATATTAAAGGTGCAGGGTGTAATATTTTGGAGGATCTATTGACACAGGAATGCAATATACACAACTATGTTTTCAGAGGTGTATGAAGACCTTACCTAATGAGGTTTTTATTACCTTACCATGTACAATTTCTATCTACATACACTGCGGGTCACCACCATGTTTCTACAGTAGCCCTAAATGGACAAACTGCTCTACAGAGATTTTGTTGTTGCGAATAAAACACTGACACAATGATGAACACGAAACAATCATATTCTCAATAACATATCGGTTTACTGAATAATTAAGTAAATAAAATTCCTTAATTTCCCTTTGTAAAGAAACCTCATTCTCTGCTGTCTCAGACGACGACATCTTTGTTCTGTGTCGGCCACTGTATCTTCTCTATGTGCAATTCGCAACCTCACTGCTAGATGCCACTTAAATGTACACACTAAATTTATATCTACATACACCGCGGGTCCCCTTACATGGAAGTCGCCACCATGTTTCTACAGTAGCCCTAAATGGACAAACTGCTCTACAGAGATTTTGTTGTTGCGAATAAAACACTGACACAATGATGAACACGAAACAATCATATTCTCAATAACATATCGGTTTACTGAATAATTAAGTAAATAAAATTCCTTAATTTCCCTTTGTAAAGAAACCTCATTCTCTGCTGTCTCAGACGACGACATCTTTGTTCTGTGTCGGCCACTGTATCTTCTCTATGTGCAATTCGCAACCTCACTGCTA